GAGAGAGAGAGAGAGAGAGAGAGAGAGAGAGAGAGAGAGAGAGAGAGAGAGAGAGAGAGAGAGAGAGAGAGAAGGGGGGTGGACTGTGCCAAGCTGTCGATTATGTGACTGTGATACGTGCTACTTCGTTTCTTCTTTGCCTTTTGCCTTCCAGGAAATGTTCCTAGATGCTCGCCCGGCATTATGGCTCTCATGTCAATGCTACTCCCGACAAGTCCCCCACCCGAAGAGCAACTGCCAAGCAGATTGAATGCTGCTGAGTGTTTCATCATTCATACAATGCAACCCCCCTGCTTCTTAACATCAGTGGCATTCCTATTGTTGTTGGAGGCGCCTTCCAACAACTTCCCCGGGCCAATCATCAATGACGTCATCCGAGTCCACCAAACTGAGACTCACCCACACGCTTGCACTTGCACACACAGCGCCCAAACTGAACAAGTAAGCACGGGGCATACATACATGCAAGATCGCTTGATCACAAACATATCCAGAGAACACAGCAAACAAAGTCTGATTCTGAATCTTACCAAAAACATCAACGGTGCAACGGACTTTGTCAAAAACAAGTAAGCACGCGATTTTCTTGGAAATGTCCAGAGTTCTTGCACAGCACAAAATCCAAAAAAAACGATGCTGCAAAGGTAACGGCTCCCCAAACAAAACACGCAAAGATAAAGGAAAAAGAATGTTTGGTGGTATTCCCTGCTATTTTCTTGCACGCAGGTTTTCGTCTGCTCTCAGGCTCTTCTTTTTCTTATTGTGAAAGAAGCCGCAAATGATAGGGCAGTTCCTTATGCGTTTTCTTTCTTGTGTGCTTTTTTTCTTTTTCTGTTTTTTGCTGGCGAAGCCGCAACGGGTCATCTAGTATCGATATAGGCAGACTATTTTAGCTACTAGCTTATTTGTTCGCTTAGGTTGTCTTCAGCCACGGAAGAGTCTGATGGTCTGAGTAGATTTTGAAGGGGCGCACTCATAGGTAATGTCTCCATGTCTTCAGACCGTAATACAAAATATACAGCTCTCTCTCTCTCTCTCTCTCTCTCTCTCTCTCTCTCTCTCTCTCTCTCTCTCTCTCTCTCTCTCTCTCTCTCTCTCTCTCTCTCTC